TTATATTCTACAGTCTAGTAGTCTATAGTCTGGATTATACCTAGTTTAGTCAGTTGTCTAATCTATAGTCTGAACTATTGACTAGTGTATAGTCTTTACTATAGTCTGGACATAGAGTACTCTACAGTCTGGACTGTAGTCTAATCTGTAGCCTGGATTATAAACTAGTCTATAGACTGGACTATTGTCTAGTCTATACTCTGGACTATAGTGTAATCTATAGTATCGATTATAAACTAGTCTATAGACTGGACTATTGTCTAGTCTACACTCTGAACTGCAGTGTAGTCTGTAAAAAAGTCTAGCATAAAGTGTGGACTATAGTCTATTCTATACTTAGTTTGAACAATAGTCTAGTATATATTCCCAAATATAGTATGGTCTATAGTTTGGATACTAGTCTCATAAATAGTTTTTTTTTTGGTACCATCACTAAAAAGCAAGGACAATTTTGAGTGCAAAAACTCTTTACTTTTAAAATAATTTGTTAACGACCCTCGTTTATATTTTTTTTATAACTTGATTGCTGCTTTTTCAACAGCCCAGTCTTAATAAAGTAATTTAAGCCCTTCTTTTGGTAATTTTGGTAGTTTTTTCTTTTTTTTATATTTCTTTTAAATATTTTGTTTATTTTACAAAAAAAAATATTGTATTTATTTATTTATTTCTATGAACAAATTATTATGTTCGACGGCAGCAGCACTAAATCACACAGAAACAATTACTTTTTGTAAAGGGCGTGCTATGGCGAACGTGACTTTAAAAGGTTTCGTTTTATTTTTTTGTTAAAAAAAATTATCAAATTCTATTATTTTGTCTAGCCATAGTTAAATAATTAGTTTTATCGGATGTTATTATGAATTTTGAAAACAGCTGCAGCAAATAGCAGGTAAATATGCCTGCCCTTCGATGTTAACGGTAGTTTGTTGTTGTTTGTTTTTCAAATGGCTGTTAGATTACAGAGACAGTTATTTAGTGATATTTTTTTAAATTTAATTAATAAACAATAACAATTTGTAATAATTAAACATAGAAAATGGTTTATTTAAGTATAATGTTGTTACTCTCAACAACTTGTTTGTTTAATGTAACAAAATTTTGTAGTTAAAGCTATTAAAAAGTTGCCATTTTTTAGTTGTCTCGACTCTAAATATTTGAAACTTAGTTTTTTCTTTGTTCTAAATATTAAAATTTATTTCAATTCCTCGTTTTTTTTTTAACAAACACTATCATTGTTTAAACAATTTAAATGTTTTATTTTCAGTTTTATTTGCTATTGTTTTTAATAATAATTGACACATTTTTCTTTGTATAGAATATAAAAAAAAACCCCAGAAAATGAAATTTATAATGTTTTGGGTCAATTGTTGACTAAAAACGAACGATTGACTGACAATTTGCAATGAAAACAGATGTTCATTATAAAAGACAAAAAAAAAAAAAAGCTAGAAAAATATTTACAAAAATAAAACAAAAACATAGCATTGCATATTTATTTAAAAAATATTTATATTAAATTATTAAACAAAAGAACAGAACAAATTATTTCAGTATTAGACGATTAAGAGTAAAGTGGGAAACTTGAAAAAAGATTTTCAAAATTATAGATCAAACATAAAAATCAAAATTTTAAAATTTTTAACAAATATTTTCACATTTTCATATTCTTTGGAGTATTTCTATGTTTCAATTAAAATTTTTGTAGATTTATTTCATTAGACAATAAATCATTTATTAAATCAATACCCTACATATTAATACAACGTTTGAGGGTCTGATTATTAAACAAAAACAAATAATAATCTTAATAATTTATTAATAAAATAATACTGGCAAAACTCACAGATACTATATCAATAATAATTACATATATTAATAGTTTAACTAAGTATTAGTAGTTAATAGTTGCTAAGTGTGGAATAAATTAGCGGCTGACTAAATGGCTGGCTGGTTGACTGACTTCAAGGGGCTGTTGGAATAGGTTTTTTTTTTTTTTGTGTATATATGTCATCTATAATCATTATATAGCGACAACAACAAAAAAACTATTGTTTGATTTTTAAAATGTGATAAGAATTTTTACAACAGCAACAGCAAAAAAAATTCATAATAATTTATAACAGGGATGGAGAAGTGACTTATTTGAAAATCATTTAAATTTTTTTTGTAAAAATTTTGAGATTTTGTTTTCTTTACAATATTTTGTGTATAACAGTTTTGCTATAAAATATTTTTTCTACAAAAATTTTATGTATAACAGTTTTTCTTTAGAGAACTTTGTGTATAAGAAAATTCTTCGTATAAAAGTTGTTCTAAAGAAAATGTTACGTATAACAGTTTTTTCTATAGAGAATATTATGCATTAACGTTGTTTCTATTGACAGATTTAGTATTTAACACTATTCTATGAAAAATTATGGTTATGACAGTTATTTTAGAGGAAATTATTTCTGTAAAAAATATTCTGGTTGCGATAGTTATTTTAGAGAAAAATCTATGTATAACAGTTTTTTTCTACAAAAAAAAATATCTTTATAACAGTTTTTTCGATTAAAAATTCTCGGTATAACAGTTTTTTCTGTAGAAAAAATTGCTTAGAATAGTTTTCATAACATAAAATCTTTGTATAACAGTTCTATAACAGTTTTTTTCTAAAGAAAAATTTGTTTATAAGAGTTTTTTTTACAGTTTTACTACAAAAGATTCTTAGTATAATATTTTTTTAAAGAATTTTTTTCTATAGAAAAATCAGTATTTACTGCAGTTTTGATATAGAAAATTTTACATATAACAGTTTTTTCTGCAAACAATTCCGTGTATAACAGTTTTTTCTAAAGAAAATGCTGTGTATAATAGTTTTTCTACAGTTATACTTTAGAATACTATAGAAGAACTACATATAATCTGTGTATAAGACTTTTCTCTATAAAAATTCTCTGTATAACAGTTTTTTGCTGTAGAATACTATAGAAGAACTACATATAATTTGTGTATAAGAGTTTTCTCTATAAAAATTCTCTGCATAACAGTTTTTTCTGTAGAAAAAAAAGCTTAAAATAGTTTCTATAAAAAATTTCTTTTTATAACAATTTTATAACAGTTTTTTTTAAAGAAAATTTTATGTATAACAGTTTTTTTACAGTTTTACTACAAAAAATTTTTCGTATAACAGTTTTTTTACAAAAATAATTTTATATACCAGTTTTAATACAAATAATTCCATGTATAACAGTCCTTTCTATAGAAAATTCAGTATATAACAGTTTTGATATAGAAAATTTTGAGTATAACAGTTGTTTCTAGAAACAATTTCGTGTATAACAGTTTTTTTAAAGAAAATTCTGTGTATAATAGATTTTCTATAGCTTTATATTAAAAATCTATAGAAAAACTATATATAATCTGTGTATAAGAGTTTTCTCTATAAAAAATACTCTATATATCCAACTTTTCTATAAAAACTTCTCTGTATAACAGTTTTTTTATAAAAAAATTATTTTTATAACTGTTTTTACTAAAGAAAATTTAGTGCATAACAGTTTTTATACAGTTTAACTACAAAAAATTCTAGGTATAACATTTTTTTTATAGAAAACATTTTATATAACAGTTTTAATACAAATGATTCCGTGTTTAACAATCCATTCTATAGTAAATACAGTATATAACAGTTTCGATATAGAAAATTCTGTGTATAATAGTTTTTCTATGGCTTTACTATAAAAAATTCTGGGTATAACAGTTTTTTTTTATAGAAAAAAATTGTGTATAACAGTTTTAATACAAATAATTATGTGTATAAGAGTTCTTTCTGTGGAACATTCAATGTATAACAGTTTTTCTATAGTTTTACTACGAGTTTTTATTCAATTTAACAGTTCTTTTTATAGAAAACATTGTGTATAAGAGTTTTAATACAATTGAATCCGTGTATAACAGTTCCTTCTATACATAACACTACACTACTTGATATAGAAAATTTTGCGTATAACAGTTTTTTCTGCAAACAATTTCATGTATAACAGTTTTTCCTAAAGAGAATTCTGCGTATAACAGCTTTGATGTAGAAAATTCTTTGTGTAACAGTTTTCTTATAAAAAAAATTGTACATTAGATTTTTCTACAAATAATTTTGTGTATAACAGTTTTTTTATAGTTTTACTACAAAATTTTTTGGTATAACAGTTTATTTTTATAGAAAAATTTGTGTATAACAGTTTTTCTATAGTTTTACTACAAAAATTTTCGGTATAACAGTTTTTTTGTAGAAAAAAATTGTATATAACAGTTTTAATACAAATAATTCCGTTATTTCTATAGAAAATTCAGTACATAACAATTTGATGTAGAAAATTTTGCGTATAACAGTTTTATCTGCAAACAATTTCGTGTTTAACAGATATTCCTAAAGAGAATTTTGTGTATAACACTTTTGATGTAGAAAATTCTGTGTATAATTGGTTTGTGTACAAAATAATAGTTTTCCTGTAGAAAATTCTACGTATAACAGTTTATTATAGAAAAATTTCTGTATTACAGTTTTTTCTATAGCATTTTTATTCTTAAAAAATCTGTGTATAACAGTTCTTTTTTTGGAAAATTCTGCGTATATAAGTTTTTTCTAAAGCAGATTATGTGTAAAACAGTTTTTCTACAAATATCACAGTTTTTTCCACAAAATTTTCCGTGTATAACAGTTTTATTCTAAAGAAAATACTTTATATAACAGTTTTAATATAGAAAATGCTTGATATAACAGTTTTCCTATAGAAAATTCTGCGTATAACTGTTTTTTTAATTATTATAACAGATATTTTTATAAAAACAATTTCTGTATAACGGTTTTTTCTATAGCAATTTTCTGTATAACAATTATTTTTATAATAAATTCTGAGTATAATAGTTTTTTCTTCTTCTGAGTTTTATATATAGAAATTTTCACGATAAGATTTTATTTTGTATAACAATTTGTAATTATTGTTTTTTCCTTTATTTTACAGAGATCCGTTATTGAAAATTTTTTGAAAACTTAATTTCCATACGTCCTCAACTCAACTCTGTACCCAGAAGAAAGAATAAAAACTGCTGTACTGGATTTAAAGGATTAAAAACAAACTTCAAAACTCTTCTTTATTCCTATTCTCCACGAAAAAAGAGAGTTTTATTTGTTTTCCTCGCCCAAAAAAATCAAAAAATTTCCTTGTAAAAAACAACCAATGATTACAAGTGAAAAGCACAAAAAGTACAATAATAAGTGCAACAACAACAATAATAATAAAAATACAATAAACACTAAAAATAGTGCAACAAAAATACAACAGAATATTAAATTTTATATAGTAAAAAATAATAAACAATTTCTATTGCAATTTTACTATTTAAATTCGAAAATCAAAGGTGAAAATTATAAATTTAAACGTTTAAATCACAAACCAACATTGTTGAGATTGTCAACACTGAAAATAGAAGATAAAAAACCATTATAACAGCAGCAGCAGAAGAAGAAACAGCGGTAATAAAAAGCAACAACAACAATTATCACACTAATTGAAGAGAGTGTGATTAAAAAGGTAGGCAGAGACAATCCACTAGAAAAAGAGTTGAAAGGGGGGCAAAATAATATTTGTAATAAAAACAAGAACAACAACAACAAAAAGAGCACTAAATATCAGCAACAACAATAAAAACAAACGTTTGTTGTCATTTTTATTCCCCCAGGCATAAATAAACGCTAGATTTTAGTTTTTGTTGTTGTATTTTTCATTTAATCTAAATTTGTTGTTGTTTGTGGTGTGCACACGGGACTCACGGTCGCCAAGGTTGTATAAGTGAGTGTGTGTTTGTTTGTTTAAGTTTTGTATTTAACGAAGAGTGACGTTGACAGCTAACAAGCAACAACTACAATAATAACAAGAATAAAAAAAAATGCCTCCAAACACTTACTCCAACACAAAATAGTAAAAAAAACAAGCAAAACAATAACAAACTGGTTGAATAATAGATCCCCAAAACAAAACCGGTTCAAAAGTGTTTTAAACCAAAACAAAACTGAACTAAAAACAAAATAAACCAAAACAAATCCAAACACAGCTTTGTTTATTTGGCATCATTACGAAAAGAAGAAGAAGAAGAAAAATAGTACATTTTGGCTTAAAGTGAAATTTGTTAAATGAAAAGTAAATAAACAAACACCACCCTCACCTAAATGCATCTTAAATAAATGAAACATTTTTGTATAACGCTTTGTTCTATAGAGAATTATGTGTATAATAATTTTTCTATATAAAATTTTGTTTAACAAAGTTTTCATATAAAAAGTATAACAGTATTTTATAAAAATTTTTGCGTTCTACAGTTCTTTCCATAGAAATTTCTGTATATAACTGTTTTTTCTATAGAAAATTTTGTGTATAACAGTTTTTTCTTTAGAAAATTTATATATGACAGATTTTTCTATAAAAGCTTATAGTATAACAAGTTTTTTAAAAACAAATTGTGTAAAACAGTTTTTTTCTACAGAAAATTTTGTATATAAAAGTTTTCGTACAGAAAATTTTGTGTATAACAGTTTTTTTATATAGAAAATTATGAGCATAACAGTTATTATCTATAGAACATTTTGCGTATAACAAATTTTCATATATAATATACAATATATAACAGTTTTTTTATAGAGTTTTTTCTGTAGAAATTTCTGTGTATAACAATTTTCTTATGGAAAATATTTTGTATAACAGTTTTTTCTATAGAAAATTGGGCGTATAACAGTTTTTCTATAGAAAATTTTGTGTATCACAGCTTTTTATGCAGAATTTTCTGTGTATAAAAGTTTTTTCTATAGAAAATTTTTGTATAACAGTTTTTCTATTAAGAAAATTAGTATAACAGTTTTTTTATTGAAAATTTTGTCTATAACAATTTTTTTTATTGAAATATTTTGTTTTTAACATTTTTTATTTGTATAAAAGTTTTTTTTTCTATAAAAAAAGTTTTTGTATAACAGTTTCTTCTATAGAAGTAATTTGTTTCTTTAAAAAAATCTGCGTATAACAGTTTTTTTCTGCAAACAACTTCGTGTATAACAGAGTTTCTTAAGGAGAATTTTGCATATAACACTTTTGATGTAGAAAATTCAGTGAATAACTGGCTTTTCTACAAAAATTCTGTGTATAACAGTTTTTAAAATAGAAAATACCGCGTATAACAATTTGTCCTACAGAAAATACTGTGTATCACAGTTTTTTCTATAGAATTTTCCGTGTATAACAGTTTTAATATAGTTATAGTTTTAATATATATATTCTTTGTAGAATATAGAAAATTCTGCGTATAACAATTTTTTATAGAAAAATTTCTGTATAACAGTTTTTTGTATAATTATTTTTTTCTTAAAAAACCTGTGTAAAACATTTTTTTTTTTTGGAAAATTCTGCGTATATCAGTTTTTTCTAAAGCAGATTCTGTGTAAAACAGTTTTTCTACAAAAAATTTTGTGTATAACAGTTTTTTTATAGAAAATATTGTGTATAACAGTTTTTTCTATAAATATCACAGTTTTTTCATATAATTTTTCATGTATAACAGTTTTTTTCTAAAGAAAATTCTTTGTATAACAGTTTTAATATAGACAATTCTTTGTATAATAGTTTTTTTTCTTTTTTTTCTTTAAAAATCTGTTTATAACAGTTTTTTTTTTTTGGAAAATTCTGCGTATATCAGTTTTTTCTAAAGCTGATTCTGTGTAAAACTGTTTTTATACAAATAATTTTGTGTATAACAGTTTTTTTTTAAATATTGTGTATAGGAGTTTTTTCTAAAAATATCACAGATTTTTCCATATAATTTTTCATGTATAACAGTTTTTTTCTAAAGAAAGTTCTTTGTATAACAGTTTTAATATATAAAATGCTTTGTATAACAGTTTTTCTATTGAAAATTCTGCGTATAACAGTTTTTTTTATAAAAAATTATTATAACTGTTTTTTTATAGAAAAATTTCTATATAACAGTTTTTTTCTGTAGCAATTTTTTATATAACAATTCTTTGTATAACAGTTTATTCTATAGAGATTTCTGTATATAACAGCAATTTCTATAGAAAATATTTCTATAGAAAATTTTGTATGTTATATTTTTTCTGTGTAAAACTGTTTTTCTATAGAAAATTGTTTGTATAACAGTTTTTTCTATAAAACTTTAGAGTATAACAGTTTTTCATATAGAAATATTTTGTTTTTAAACGTTGTTATTTGAAAATGTTGTGTATAACAGATTTTAATATAGAAAATTCTGTGTATAACTGTTTTTTCTATAGAGATATCTGTGTATAACAGTTTTTCATGGAAAATTTTCTGTATAACAGTTATTTCTTAAGAAATATTTTGTTCTTAACAGTATTTATTTCAAAACTTTGTGTATAACAGATTTTCATTTAGAAAATACTTTGTATTACAGTTTTTAATATAACAGTTTTTCTGTAGGATATTCCCTGTAAAACAGTTTTCTATAAAAATTCTGTATGACAGTTTTTTTCTATAACAAAATTTTGTGTATAACAGTTTTTCTATATTTTTTTTTCATTTGAAAAATTCTATATAACAGTTTATCTATAGAAAATTCTTTGTATAACAGTTATTTTTGATAAAAATTCTGTCTTTAACAGTAAAAAACCAACAACAAGACATTACACAAAAGAAGAAAAATCTTTAAATAAAACTAACACACAAAAAAAGAGAAAATTTCCATATTTGTCCCAGTTTTTTAGTTGCAACAACAACCACATCTACAACAACAACAACAAACAAAATAAAACAACCTTTTATTTATTCTTTCTTAACAGCAAACAAACAAAACACAGTAACCAGTGATATAAATTACAACAACAACAATTACTGCTACAACAACAGAAAAAAACTGCACTTTTTACTACTGTTTTGTTGTAGTTTTATTTACAACAAAATACTATAAGCGATTTTAAGTTAAACGTGTTTTTGTTTAACTTTGTTGCAGGCAACAACAAGCAACATAAGACATTATTGTCATTAACAACCTCAACTGCAACAACACAGAAACAAAAACAACAACAACATTTGTATATTTTTGCTGTTTGGCGTTTTTTCTTTTCGTTGATTGCATTTTTTTCTGGTGTGATTTGGACGCTTGGTGTTTAAGAAGTCGTGTTTATATACATATTTTAGTGTTTTAGAAACTGGATTTTTAATTCAATGTACTCAATGGTTGATTGTTACGCAGATATGGGACAAATCGGTCAAGAAGTAAGTACAATATTTGTTTTATTACTTTATTTTAATCTTAATGCTGTGAATGCATATGTATAATAAAGGGTGTTCCAAAATTAAGGCAAGATTTATAAAATGTCTAAAATACTCTTGGCAATATCACATTGAGGAAAGCTTAAAAGATTCAAAATCTTTAGACTAGTCAATAAATATACTAGTTTAGAGAATAGTAAATAGAAAAGTCCATAGACTAGTCCATGTAGTAGTCAATAGAATAGTTGGTGGACTAGTTAATAGACTAGCCCATAGACTCGTTAATAGACTAGTCCATAAACTAGTCCATAGACTAGTTAATAGACCAATTAATAGACTGGGTCATAGACTAGTTCATAGACTAGTTAATAGACTAGTACATAGACTAGACTAGTTAATAGACTAGTCCATAGACTAGACTAGTTAATAAACTAGTCCATACAGTATTCAATAGAGTGGTCAAGAGATCATAGGCTACACCATAGACTAGTTCATAAAGTAGTCAATAGACTAGTCCATATAATATTCAATAGACCATATAATATAGATCATATAATACACCTTAGACTAGTCCATAGAGTAGTCCATAGACTAGTCTATAAAGTAGTCAATAGATCAGTTGGTAGACGAATCCACACTCTTGTCAATAACCTAGTCCATACAGTAGTTAATAGATTAGTTGGTATACTAGTCCATAGACAAGTTAATAGACTAGTACATAGAATAGTCTATACAGAAGTCAATAGATTAGATGGTACACTAGTCCATAGGCTAGACAATAGACTAGTCCATACATTATTCAATAGACTGGTCAGTAGACTAGTTCATAGAAAAGTCCATAGACCTGTCAATAGACTAGTCCATACTCTAGTAAATATACTAGTCCATATAGTAGTCAATGGATTAGTTGGTACACTAGTCCATAGGCTAGTTAATAGACCATAAACTAGTCTATATGCTAGTCAATAGACTAGTCCACACAGTATTCAATAGACTGGTCAGTAGACCATAGAATAGTCCATAGACCTGTCAATAGACTAGTCCATATATTAGTCCATAGAACTATCAATAGACTAGTCAATAGTTCATATATTACATGATAGGCGAGTTCATAGAGTAGTCCATTGACTAGTCTATACAGTAGTCAATAGATTAGTTGGTATACTAGTCCATACTCTAGAAATAGACTATAATCTAATCTATAGGCTATAGTATATAGATTAGTCCATATATAGACTAGTCCATAGAATAGTCTATACAGTAGTCAGTAGATTAGTTGATATGCTAGTCCATAGGCTAATCAAAAGACTAGTCCAAACTGTATTCAATAGACTGGTCAGTAGACTAGTCCATTGAATAGTCCATAGAATAGTCCATAGACCTGTCAATCGATTATACCATAGAATAGCCAATATACCTGTCAATAGACTAGTCCATAGACTAGTCAATAGTTCATGGAATACACCATAGACTAGTCCATACAGTAGTCAATAGATTAGTTGGTACACTAGTCCATACTCTAGTAAATAGACTATAGACTAGTCTATAGGCTTGTATATAGACTAGTCCACACACTAGTAGACTAGTCCATAGACCTGTTAATAGACTAGTCCATAGAATAGTCCATACAACTGTCAATAGACTAGTTCATAGAATACACCATAGGCTAGTCTTTGGAATAGTCCATTGACTAGTCTATACAGTAGTCCATAGATTAGTTGGTACACTAGTCCAATAGACTAGTCCATACAGTATTCAATAGACTGGTCAATAGGTCATTGAATACACCATAGGCTAGTCCATAGTCTAGTCAATATATTAGGCAATAGACTAGTCAATAGTGAAATAGATTAGTTTGTTATCGTGAATTATTCATTCACAATAACTAGCCACTATGTTCGTAACATCATTACCTACCGCCCTAATGTCTCCGTTATTAAGAATGATTTTCTTTCTTACATTATTTATTATTGTTATTTATCTTATTTATTATAAAATATGCAATTTCAATTCAAGGTTATTTATTAGAAATACTAACCAGAGACTTGTTGTCAATTGTTAGGAAATCAATATAAAATAAATAAAAATATTGATATTTAATTAAAAAAATGAATACTGCAAAAAAACTAAAATCAACTTATTGTAAAAATATCAACCAATAATATTTAAAAAAATGCATTAATTTTATTTATTACTCGAATAATAAACCGCATAACTTAATTTAAAATATGTTGTCCTAGGTTGGGTACTTTATGACCCATAAAAAAAATCAGCCATTAACTAGAAAAATTATTTAAAATAATTAAAAAAAGAAACCATGGCAATAACAAAACTGTTCTCTGAGTTGTGTAGTTTTCATAATTATTAAAAATATTTTAATTTTGTTTTTATGACCCGCTCAACAATAATTAAATTGTTTTTACTACATTTTTTTTTTGCTGTGTGTGTGTGATGTATGGGGATGTTTTTTTTTTGTTGTAAACTTTTTTTTGCACATAAATATTATTATTTTTGTTTGTATTTTTTTATAGTTAAAGTTGAAAATTATATGAACTGAATTGAAAATAGCTACAAATTATTGAGATTTATATGCTGCACTTAAAGAAATTCTTGGCATAGAATGTTATAATCTTGTCACGATTGCGCCAGTCATAAAAATTTTAGCAATAAAATTTAATTATAGCTAGACGTCGAAGCAAGGTTTTCTTTCTGTGTATTTGTAATTTATATTTTTAATTAGTAAAGGTGGAAGAAAACATTTTAATACGTCTTACAGAATGCAATTTGCAAGTAAATTATTAAAATGGCGCATTGTCTAGTAAAATCATATAGTGTAAATCGGTTCTTGAATTATGTTAAATGTTCGATATCAAAAGTTTAATATTTACCAATTTGCTTGTTTTAAAAAGTACCTTGAAATGGGAGCCTTAGTACTCCATTTATTAGCCAATAGACTAGTCGATAATCATGTTAATATTTTAGTCTATAGAATAGTCAACACGCTAGTTCACAACCTAGTAAATAGACTATTCTATAGATCCATCCATATACTTAACAATGAAATAGACGAAAGACAAGTCCAAAGGCTAGTCTATCGACTAGTCCATAAACAAGTCTGTAGAATAGTCTAGTCAGCAAATTAGTCCATAGACTAGTGCAGAGACAAGTTTATATTATAATCAGTAAACTAGTCTATGGACAAGTCAATTGGCTGGTCAACAGAAAAGGTCTTAGAGCAGTTAATAGATTAGCCCTCAGACTGGACCATAAACTAGTTAAAAGACCAGTCCATAGGTAAATGATCAAGTTAATGGACTAGTCAATAGAATAATCCATAGACTGGTCTTTAAAATGATCAATAGATCAATCCATTAACTGATCAAGTTAACTACTACTCAAGAGACCATTACATAAACTAATCAATTAACTATTCCATAGATTAGTCTAGATACTTTTCCGTAGAATAATCAAAAAATTAGTCAATAAACTAGTTCATAGATCAGTCAATAGAGTACTCATTATAGTGGATTCCATAGAATAATCAAGAGGCCAATCCATAGATTAATCAATAGACTTATCTATAGATCCATATATAGACTTGCCAATAAACTGGTCAATCCATTAGTCCATAGACTAATCCATAGACTAGACCTGTCCATATACTAGACTAGTCAATAGACTTGGCCGTAAACCAGTTCATAGACTACTTCATAGACTATAGTCAATAGACTAGTAAATGAACTAATCTAGACTAGTCAATAGACTAGACTAGTCCATAGACTAGTCAATAGACTTGGCCGTAGACCAGTTCATAGGCTAGTTCATAGACTAGTAAATAGTCCAGTTCATAGACTACTCAATAGACTAGTTCATAGACTAGTCCATAGACTAATCAATAACCTTATCAATAGACTAGTCATTAGACAAATCCCTAGACTAATCAATAGCCTTATCAATAGACTAGTCATTAGACTAATCCATAGACTAATCCGTAGACTATTGACTAGTCTACGGATTAGTCTAGTCAATAGAATAGTCCATAGGCTAGCTCATAGACTATTCCATATACTAGTTAATAGAGAGGTCCGTAGACTAGTCTATAGACTAGGTAATAGGTTTGTCCATAGACCAGTCAACAAACTACTCATAGAGTAGACAATTGTCTACTCAATAGACTATTCCATAGGTTAATCAATAAACTATTCCATAGATTAGTCAATAGACTTGTCAAAATATAGACTTGGCAATAAACTAGTCAATCGATTGGTACATACACTAGTCAATGATCCGTATGTAGACTTGGCAATAAACTAGACTAGCTAGTCAATCTATTAGCCTATAGACTAATCCATAGACTAGTCAATAGACCAATCCATAGACTAGACAATAGACCAGTCCATAGACTAGTCAATAGACTTTGCCGTAGACCAGTCCATAAACTGTTTCATGGTCAAGTAAATAGTCAAGTTCATAGACTACTCAATAGACTAGTTCATAGACTAGTCAATAGACTAGTCCATAGACCAATCAATAGACTAGCCCATAGACTACTCAAAAGACTAGTCAATAGACTAATCCATGGGCTAGTTCATAGACTACTCCATAGACTAGTCTATACGATAGTCAATAGACTTGTCAAAATATAGACTTTCCAATGAACTAGACGATAAACTGGATTAGTCTATAGAATGGTCAATAGTTTATAGAATAGTCATTGTACTAAGTAGTCTATAGAATAGCCTATGGACTAGTCTACAGAATAGTCAATGGACTAGTCTATAGAATGGACTAGTCTATAGAATGGTCAATGGACTAGTTTATAGAATAGTCAATGAACTAGTCTATAGAAGAGTCTATAAAATAGTCAATAGAGGAGTCTATAGAATAGTCAATGGGCTATTCAATAGACTAGTCAGTTCATATACCAGTCAATAAACTAATCCACAGACTTGACCGTATATATATCAATAGACTATTCTTTATACTAGTCAATAGACTAGTCC